GGGGGAGGGAGGAGGGGCGGGAACCAGTATTTTGGGTGTACAGTCACAAGAGAGACTCGACGGAGCCAGGAAGTAGACTGCTGGTGCCTTCAAGGGGCTTCCTAAACTGTCGTAATTTGGGGTTTTGACAGCTGCGCTAACGAGCCGTAAAAGAGTCACAAAGGAATCGCTACAGGCAGCGAGTGACGTCGTTTTCTCGTGTAGAAATGCACGTTATTAACTCTTGTCTGTATGTTTCCAGGTTTCCTTCCATCTAACTTTGGCACAAATAGTTGGAAATGTTGTGTTGCTGAATCGTGTCATCCATAGATGAAATGTAGTTAGAAAGATATTTATTCTGCCATCAGAGCATAAAACGGCTTCAATTAAAATCTTCAAACTGCGCGTTAAATCACATTTTCCTTCATGATAGTTTATCGCGTTGTGCGTTATTTGTGTCTCCAAATCCATTTTACGCACCAATGATCGGAGGCCTACAGAGGAGGAGCACCTGAAAGCTGCAGGTAGGACTGCAGACAGACAGAGAGCGCTCAGTGGTTGCCACTTGGTGGAGATCAGAGAGAGAGAGAGAGAGAGAGAGAGAGAGAGAGAGAGAGAGAGAGAGAGAGAGAGCGCCACCACGGTCAAACTGAGCTTTATCTTTCGCAGCGGGTCATTTAATAAGAGCCATTTGGAGCCAGAGGCGACTCGGAGCGCGCAGGGAGCCGCAAGCCAGAGGCAAGATCATCAATATATGAGCAGAGCGTCCCAGTCAGAGGCCAGCAGCAGGCAGAGAGCACATTGCTCCACACAGGGAAGAGAGACAGCACAGACACGGAAGAGAAGTGAGTGAAGAGGCTGAGTGAGGCACGGACGGCACAGCTCCAACTTTTACGCGTGAAGAGGAGAAAAAAAGAGTGACTTTAAAAAAAAGTGAGAGTCAAGTGGCCGGAGAGTGTCGGTTGAAGATGCCGCGGGTAGTCCCGGACCAGAGGAGCAAGTTTGAGAATGAGGAGTTTTTCCGCAAGTTGAGCAGGGAGTGTGAGGTGAGTGTTCACTGGATCCATTCTGCTCGGCGGCGGAAACAGACACAAGGAGGCTCGTTAGCGGACAGCAGCGCGCTGGGTGTGGGGCTCGTTACCAGCTTCACATGGCTTCACTTCATCCATTTAACGACGACAGGACTTGATAAGATTCATACCAGAAAGGCCATAAGTTGCCTTAAGCTTCTGGAATTGAGGAAAATAGGACAGTTTTCATTCAGATTCTGCTTTTTATTTTTCTGTCTTGATTTATTGCTCAAATCAGTGTAAACGTGAAGTTAGTGCTCCTGGTTTCATAGACTTTACATCTTTTTTTAAATGAAAAGCTCAATGAAAGACTGAGCCTTAAATCAGAATTCCTGTGGCCCGGCTGGCAGTCAGCTTCTCCCTCATCCACAGGCTTCTGCTGGAATATGAAGTCCAGCACATGTTCTACACTCCGGCTGTACCTGTGTTGTTTTACGCTTTGTGCTTCCTTCCCTTGCAGATTAAGTACACTGGGTTCAGAGACCGGCCCCATGAGGAGAGACAAGCTCGCTTCCAGAACGCCTGCAGGGACGGACGGTCAGAAGTAGTGAGTACAGATCAGCGCTCTGGTCCTGTGTGTCCTCGTCTAGGAAGCATCGGGGGAAATGTGCTGCTGATTAGGATTTGACAACAAAGGGAGAAAGAAAGACAGGCGTGTGTGTTGATGAGGATGCTTGTAGATGGTCACAGCAGATAGGCGTCATCCAGAGCGTCTTATCAGGTCTGCTATGAATCAGACAGACGTGTGTAGTGACAGAAACGCCAGCCTCGTACTTCCTGAAGCAGCTCTACAGTCACTAGACAGACACACTCTTGTGTAGCAGCACATGCAGCGAGAGCCCCGATGCTTCGGTGTGTCCCAGCACCAGGAAGTAGACGTGTTATCAGCCAGGCAGCCCCACCAGGCTTCTTCCCCTCCGAGCTCTGCAGCTGCAGCCGCCACCGTCGCAGCGTTCACACATGTTGTCACAGCAGGCCTTCAGTCGACAACAACACAGTGTCAGGGCAGCAATTTGGGGCCTAAAACAAAGTGGTCACTAAGAGCAAACAGCAGCCGTCATGTCTAATGTTGGGAACCTGACAGCATGCCGTGGATGCAGCAATAAATACTATTAGTTGGTCACATCCTGTTTGTGCACTGGGAGGGAAAGTGTTCTCAAGTTTCACAGTAGTGAGGATCTGCTGTTTCTTCTTTGTGTTTTATGGGAAAACAAGCAGCTGGAAGCTTTGAAGGCATCAATCTGAGGTTTAGGAGATTACAGAAAAGCATTTTTCACTTCGTAGGGATCCGACAGTTTGTTGATGAATAGAGAATACCTGCCAGATTCACTTGTACCTGAAGTAGTCACGACTCGGAGCCCTAGTTTTATTTTTTAGACTTGAATTCGAGTCGTTCTGCATCATGCAAAAAGCTGTTTTTCTTTATTTTCACATTCGGAGGAGCTGCCGGTGGGTTGCTGCTGCAGCCGGAGATCGTTTGTGGTGACAGTCGCTGCTGAATCCGTCTCCCTCCATTTCCAAACCGCACTCCGCTCTCGACTTCAAATTCATCCAATCAAACGTCCAGTTCTGACATGGATGCCTCCCAAAAGCAAATGGAGTCATGAGACTGGGCTTCGCTCGTTTTGCTCCAAGTCAAAGTCCTGCATTCAGAGTGTGATCAGCTCAGCTTGCTCATCGCTGCTCTGCTGTGTTGGTGCCTCTCATGCAGCATTTTGTTCTGCTCTGAGTTCTACTGCCTTTAAAATCCTCGACACACTCAGTGCAGCTACAAGACAGTCTGTGGAGCAGAAGTGAAATATCCTCCGTGGCAGCTCGCTCATTTATGTCCACTGCTGATTTAGTGTTTTTTTTAATTAATTGATTAGTTGTTTGTGTATAAAATACAAGAAAATGGTGGGAAATGTCCATCAGTGTTCCCTAAAGCCTGGGTGACGTCCTCAGTGTCTGGTTCTGTTCACAGCTCAGAGATTCAGGTTCTGTCACAGAGACTGAAGACAATCCCACGAGCGATGTTCTTACCTTTAGTTTAACTTTGGTCTTCTTCAGTGGCTCATTTCTGTCCAGCAGTGAGGGACCAATAAAGTGTGTCTTATGTTATCTTAAAAAAAATCTAATTTAAGAAGCTGGAATCAGTTATTTTTGGGAGAAATTACTCAGTCCAAATAATTGTTTATCAAGATTAATTTAGTAGTTGGTGAAATGTTAAGTCTGAGTAAAAATAAAAATACTGACCTGAGAATTAAAGACATGAAAACGAGATCAGATAAAACTGGATTAACCCTGATGTTCCTGATATCACTCAGAAACAACGAACAACTGAACAAATGCAGGCCCTAAAAGCAGAACGCAGTAAGACAGACGGACGCTGCACGACTGAAATACGACCAGTCGGCTAAATAAGGCTGGAACCGGACCGAGCGCTGGTCCTACTGAGGGAATATGGAGCAGAGTGAAACACTGCGCCTGAACAATGACCGTTAAAATGAACACTGCACATTAGTCTGCCTGCACCTGACCAATGACAACATGAGGAGATTCCTGTGTTCCCGCCACGTGTCTGCAGGTTCTACTGTCTGCACTCTGTGTTGAGCTCAGCCGGGTCGGAGAAGTGCAGCTCGACCCGCTGACCTTGTTGGTCTGCTCCGACAAAACTCCGGGTTCAGTGTTTGTGACGTGTGGAACATTAGAGCAGGTCAGGCTGAAGTCTGCTTCCTGCTGAAGGGGAGGTCAGGAGAGAGGCCCGCCGGCCGGCGCTGACCAACACAACACGGGTCACTTCTGCCGCCTGAGTCAGCCTGGAGGTATTTTTCACAAACACGCTGTCATCATGGCAGGAGGCTGTTTGCATCTAGGTTTACCTTCTTTTAGCGGGACGTGGTGCGTCCGTCTGTCTGTCCTCACTGTATTTATAAGCCTCCTCTGCAGCGAGAATTGATGGCCGCGGTTTAAACGCTTCGACGGCAGCCGTGACATCATGCTGCTGATTTATCTATCAGCCAGACGCCGCTAAAGACCTCCTGCTATTTTCACGGTCAGCGCGAACACTAGGAGACACAACGAGACTCCAAACGTTGCTGTCAAGGAAAACAAACCGTAAACTGCCGCCTGATTTATTGGAGTTTGTCATTTGCAAAGTCGTCCTCGTGGGAGAAGGTGCTTTGCTTATGTTTGCTTCATTTCATGGTTACGCTGCACCAGGCGGGGCAGAAGCTGACGTTACAGGGGCAGTTGTTGTCTGTACAGAGACCTGGTGAACAGGGGAGACGTCTGGCTCACATCAGGACGCATTCATGCTGATCTGGTGGCTTCATGGCACCAGCTCTGGGGTTCTGTCTGGGAAGAAGAAACCATCTTGAGTCAGTTTGCATGTGAATCGATGCAGGATTCTCATAAAAGCCACTGAAAGGCATCACTGCATTTAGAAATGAAGCGACTTGGGCACAGCCTCCATGTTCTAGATGTCACTGCACATGTCTGGAGGGGCTCTGGAACCTTCTCATCCCATCAACAGGACTTTCTTTTGTCAGTTTTGCTCTCAGCCTCATTCCCACTAAGTCTCGTGAAACTTTCAATTAATCAACGTTTTACTCATGAAGAGCAGCTTTCTGTAGAACTTCTGGTAGTTTCCTACATGACGTGTTTATTTGACCACGTTCAGGACAAGAAACTGGTTCAGCATATAGATGGACGGCAGAGCTTCACCTGTTTTAAAGAATAGAAGTGATTTATTAGCGTGAGGTCTGCTCTGGATGCAGTGCTGTCCAGGTACAGACGAGGACCTCCATGCACTTGTACAGATGTGTGGCTCCGACTGATCAATGGGACGATAATTCCAAGTAAATTATGTTCAGCACAGCTCATTAGAGATGAGTCGCTTTCTAACTTCCTATTGATTTTCATGCTGTGCTGCTCTCCGTCTCTCTTCCTGCTTCCCTCTGCGTCCGTCTGTCCGTCCACCTCCTTTTATTTCCGTTCTCCTTTGTCTAGTTTCTGTCTCCTCAGCTCCCCTCTTGGACTTTCTTCACCGTTTCTCCTCCTTGTCTGTCTGCCTCCCTCTCGTTTACTCTTTCTTTGTCTCTCCCTTTCCTCCATCTCTCTCCTCTGCCACCTTCCCCCCTTTCCCTCCTTTCTGCTCTCCAGCAGCAGTAGGCAGCAAATTAGGATCAGATGCTTGTAATCCAATACTTCAAATACAGCAGAAATGATGACTCGGGTGTTCTTGGAGCTTCCACCTCCCCTCATGCCTCTCTCTTCCACTCCTCCTCCTCCTCCTCCTCCTCCTCCTCC